TAAATGCATGTCACAATTATTCTTCTAGTTCCTTGTGATCGATTTCTGTTGTAGAGATGGAGAGGTTGAGCCTTTGTGAGTGAAAGGGCATGAGTAGAATATAGAACTTTGTAAGTCTTCAGAGGGGTTCGTAAAATAGATTGAAGAGAATATTTTCTTTGCACCTACTGGGAGTTTACTCCCACCATAATTCTTGAGGAGGTTTGAGTTTATTCGGTCTTCTTGATCACTATTCCCTTTGCCTCTCATTTGTCCGTGTGCTTATGTGACACAGAGCGCGCTATGCTTTGTGCATAAGAAAGATTTCATGAATGTAAGTGTAGATTGGTCAGTGTCGTAAAGGTGTGCAGGGCATTCACCTCATGCTGTGGGGCAAAGATATTGCCAGCAGTCACAGATGGGTTACTAGCAGATGTTCCCCCCACCCCTGGAATCCTAAATTACAAGTCTGGAATTCTAAAACAGGGAAAAAGAAGAATTGTGTATTTTAAATGGGGATGGGCACTTTTGAGTTGACTTGTGTGGGATTAAAAGGTTATTAACATTTTTTGTTTTTTAGAGAGAGCATGCATGCGCTTTTGCATGCACAAGTGGGGGCGAGGGGCAGAGGGAGAGAGAATCGTAAGCAGGCTCCACTTTCAGCATGGAATAATAGAAATCTGTTATTTTACAACTTTAAAAATTATATAACAATGTAAAAAGTCTCCTGTTTCCTCCAACTGCAATTTCTGCTCTCAGAGGTAATCACTACTGTTAACAATTTGTTGTATACAAATTCATCCCTAGCTTATGATTTTTCAACTTTATGATGGTGCAAAAGTGATAGGCATTCCATGGAAACCGTACTTCGAATTTTGGGTTTAGATTTTTTCCTGGGCTAGTGATATGTGATATGATGCTCTGTCTTAATTAGCTGGGCAGTGGTAATGAGCCGCAGCTCCCAGTGAGACCTGTAATCCTGACGGTAAAGAACCAACACACTCACACCATTCTGTAACCATTTAGATGTTCAGTTTTTCACTTCCAGTACAGTATTCAGCAAACTACATGAGATATCCAACACTTTAGTATAAAATAGGCTTTGTGGTAGATGACTGTGCCCAAGTGAAGCTAATGTAGGTGTTTTGAGCACATTTAGGGTATGCTAGGCAAAGCTATGATGTTTGATCGGTTAGGTATATTCAGTGCATTTTCGACTTAACGCTATTTTCAACTTACGATGGGTTTATCTGATGTAAGCACATCCTAAGTGGAGGAAGATCTCTATATTTTTTTAACCTTACTAACATGTCATGGATGTCTTTCCATTTCATCTTTAGCTGAACCTCTTTAAAAATATTTAACAGTTTGAGGTATAATTTACATACTATAAAATCCATCCATTTAAATATATAATTCAGTGATAGTATTGAATTTACACATTTGTACAATTATCACTATAATCATATTTTAGGATACTTCTGCTACTTTAAACAAGTTCCTTTGTGGCTGTTTGTGGTCACTCCCCAGCCCCAGTCATAGATAACTGTTTATCTGCTTTCTGTCTTTATAGTTACTCTTTTTTAGAAATTTAATATAAATGGAATCCTACAACATGCATTCTTTTGTGTCTGACTTCTTTCATTTAGCATAATGTTTTTAAGGTTTATTCATGTTGTTGTACTTAACAGTTGGTGCCTTTTTCTTGCTGAGTACTATTCCATTGTATGGGTATACCACACTGATTAACCATTTGATTAAACTCTGATGGACATTTGATTTGTTTCCAGTTTGGGGGTATTATGAATAATGCTGCTATGAATATTTACATATAAACATTTATGTTGACATATGTTTTTATTTTTCTTGGGTAAATGCTTAAGTAAAATTGCTTGGTTGTATGATAAGTTATACTTAAAAACTGCCAACCTGTTTTCCCAAAGTGGCTGTATTTTCCATTCCTGCCAGCAGTGTATGAGGTTTCCACTTTCTCCCGAATTTTCTAATGCTTAGTATTGTCAGTATTTTCCAATTGTGATTTAGTTTGCCTTTTCTTAATAACTAATGATGCTGAGTATATTTCCATGTACTTATTGAACATCTGTATGTCTTCTTGGGTGATGTGTATATTTAAATCTTTTGTCCATTTTGTAATTGGGTTGTTTTTCTTTTATTATTTCAGTTTTTAGAGTTCTTTATGTATTCTATACATAGGTCTATTATAAGATGTATGAATTGCAAATATTTTCTCCAATCTGTAGCTTATCTTTTCATTTTCTTATGGTTGCATTTGAAGAGCAAAATTTAAAAATCTTCATGAAGTAAAATATATCTGTTGTTTTTCTTTTATGAGTCTTGCTTTTAAAGAAATCTTTGTCTAACTCATGTCAGAAAAATTTTCACCTACAAGTTTTGTAGTTTTATTTTATTTTTTTATTTTTTTTAAAGATTTTATTTATTTATTTGACAGAGAGAGACACAGCAAGAGAGGGAACACAAGCAGGGGGCAGTGGGAGAGGGAGAAGCAGGCTCCCCACAGAGCAGGGAGCCCGATGTGGGGCTCGATCCCAGGACCCTGGGATCATGACCTGAGCTGAAGGCAGATGCTTAACGACTGAGCCACCCAGGCGCCCCTGCAGTTTTATATTTTACATTTGGAGATATGACACATTTTGAATTAATTTTTGTGTGCATGTGAGGTAAAAGTCTAGAAGTGTAAGTTTTTTTTTTTTCTTGCATGTGAACATTTAGTTGTTCCAGCCCTATTATTGAACAGACTGTCCTTTTGCCATTGAATTGTCTTGGTACCTTTATAAAAAATTAATCAACCATAAATGTTTGGGTTTATCTCTTATATTTCTGTTCTTTTCCATTTAATCTATAAATTTATCCTATGCCAATCCCACACTAATTATATAATGATAGTTTTATATAAAGTTGAAATCAGGCAGCTTAAGTTCTCCAACTTTGTTCTTTCTTTTCAAAAATGCTTAGACTCTTCTGCATTCTTAACATTGCTACATAAATGTTAAGAGCAGCTTGTCAATTTGTAAACAATAGCAAAAAAATCCCAAATATCCAAAAACCTGCTGAAATTTTTATAGGGGTTGTGTAGAATCTGTAGATTAATTTGAGGATATTGCCATTTTCACAATGTTGAATTTTCCATTTCATGAATATAGCATATTTCTCCAATTTGTAGCTTTTTTTGTAGGAATGTTTTATAATTATTAGGGCATTGGTTTTGAATTTCTTTTGATAAATTCATTCCTGAGGGTTTTTTTTTTATGCTATTCTGAATGGAATTATTTCCTTAATTTCAGTTTTGATTTGTTAGTTGCTTGTATATAGAAATACAGTTAATTTTAATATGCTAATCTTGTATCCTGTGATCCTACTAAACTTGCTTATTACTTCTAGTAGCCTTTTTTTTTTTTTTTTTGGTAGCTATCTTAGGATTTTCTGCATATGAGATCATGTTTTCAGCAAAAAAAGACACTTGATCTTCTTTCTTTCCAGTCTGTGTGCTTTAAATTTCTTTTCTTGCCTAATTGCATTGGCTGGAAACACTAGCTGCAGGTTGAATAGAAGTGGTGAAAGAGACATTTTTCTTTGTTTATAATAGGAGGGAATATTCATTTTATCATGAAGTGTAATGTTAGCTGTAGGTTTTTGTAGATGCTCTTTATCAGGTGTGGAATTTCCCTTGTCTCTGGGTTTATTTGTTTTGTTTTTCTCTCTTTTTCTGCATCTGTTGAGATGACCATTTGGTATTTGTGCTTTATTCTATTAATATGTATAATACATTAATTGATTTATGGATATAAAATCAACTTTGCATTCCTGGGATAACCCCACGTGGTCATAGTATATAATACATGTTTTGTAGTTAATATTTTATTAAGGATTTTTACACCTATTTTCATGGCAGATACTGGCCCATAGTGTTCTTTGCTTTTGCTGTCTTTGTTTGGCTTTGATATGAGAGTAGTGCTGGCCATGTAGAATTTGTTGGAAAATGTTCCCTCCTTCACTTTATCCTAAACAAGTTTGTGAAGGAATGGAATTATTTCTTCCTTGAATGTTTAACAGAATTTGCCAGTGGAGCCATCTGGTCCTAGAGATTTTTGTTTTGTTTTATTTTGTATTTGTGGGAATGTTTTAAATACAATTTTGATTTTTCAAGAATAAATCCTTCTCAAAAATTAAATGTTTGATTTTTCAAGAATAAATAAATGTGGCTTTATTCACATTCCATAGCCCCCAAATGGTTGTTTTTGATTATTTTGTCCAGCTTGATACTTTTATTTTGCTAAAAGAATTTGCCACCTCCCTTCAGAGTACCACACTCAGAAGCTACTTCTCTACGTCTTTTTAATGGCTGTACAATATTCCATTTTGCAGATGTACCATAATCTAATGAAAAATAGTTTTTCCAAATTTTAAAAATATTCTTAAATAGTGATACAGTTAAATTTAATCCACATATAACTTATGCTAGTAATTCACTAAAGTAGGTTCCTAGAAGTGAGTTGGCTGGGCAAAAGTTAGATGCACATTTTTAATTTTAATAAATACTCTAAAGTTATTCTGCAAAATTTGTACCAAATTATTACACAGTTAGAATAATGTAAGAGAAGGTCCACTTCTCTCTATCTGCCACTACTGTATACTGTTAATCTTATATATATTTGCCAATGTGAAAGGCAAAGATTGGTGTGTTTTTATTTGCATTAATTTATTTAAGTGGAGTTGGGAATCTTTTTTTATGCTCTTTGACTATTTCTTTTTATTTTATGAAGTGACTTGCCGTGTCCTTTGCTTGATTTACAATTAGATTGGTTGTCTTTGTCTTACTAATTTATAGGATCTTCTGTTATTTTAGTTATATGAAACTTCTTTCTGTTTTCTGTTGTAAATATTTATTCAATTTAGCCATTCACTTTTTTTCTAGTCATAACTGTTTTCAGTCTTTTAAAAGCCTGTCTTGTAATTTATGTTTTTGTTTGTTTTTAAAACAGCAAGTTGTACAAGGGATTGATGTAAACCAAATCCGAGGGCTTGGGTTTGATGCCACGTGTTCTCTGGTGGTTTTGGATAAGCAGTTTCGTCCTTTACCAGTAAACCATGAAGGTAGGACCTTTCCACTTTCTTTCCCTGGTGGTGGGAGACTGGCTGGGCCCCAGGTGTAACACGAGGTCAGATGTCTCTTATTGCCAAGGGTGAGATTTAGTGGTGGAGCACGGAGGCCAGAATCATGTCCTGGAGGTTACCTGGTTGGAGAACTGTTGGTGGCAGTGGTGACATGGGGGCTGGATTAGGGAGAGACTTGGCTCACTAATGCACAGAGCCACAGTGGAGAGCTCACTGAAGGAAGGACATAGGTGAGCCAAGTCCATTTAAAGGAAATAGAATAAAGTAGACAGGACCATGCATCACACAGAAGCTGGAAACAGATTGGCCTCTTTGTTTTCAGTAGCCAGACCAAAGGACATTCCCACTTAATGACATTGTCCTAATAGAGACTTGTGAGTATAATAATGAGCTGTTCAAATGTATGTGCCACTTGGGTTCACCATCAGACGTTTTTCATGGGTCAAGGTCTATCCCTCTTGGAAAATTTTAGCAAGTAGCACAACACTGAGGTTGCAAACCCAAAGCCCATAGTAGTGGGTGGGTAATGAAAATGAGTAAAGTGGGACAGGTTTGAAAAAAAACCAATAGCACATGTGTGGAGATAAATTTCAACTCATTTTTAGCCTTTTCATGAGCAGAAGACATTTGGGAGTGGTGGAGAACACAACACAGTGGAAATTGCATGTTCCATCTAAGGAGTGTGGCTCTAGGCATCGTCAGCGAGTTGTTGCCAAGATAGCCATTGCAAATGTCTTTTAGGCCAAGATTGTGTTTGAGAACCCTCCGCAGTGGACACTGCTGTCGCAGTGCCCTTCTTAACAGGTGGCTATGGATACCAGGGTACACCAGGACACCATGGAACTGGAGTCAGGAACGTCCTGGATCTCAGCTCTGTTCATGCTGAGTCATGACACCTTGAGTGAGTCACTTTCCCTCTGCATTTTCTGAAAGAATTGGAATAATGAACCAAAGCTTTGCTGTGAGGATTGAGAGCCTGACACCTGAATGCTCAGAAACATTTCTTCCATCCGATCATGAATTCCTAAAAAGAGAATGTGTCCCACTCACTTTTATGGACCTAATTCATAGAATAGTGATTTATATAAATTACATGTGCTGGAAAAAGTATGCAAGTGGATGAATGGTTAGAACACAGTGCTAAGGATGTCCATCTTTCTACACACACACACACACACACACACACACACACACACACACACACACACAGACTTTTCCCCCTTTTTGCCACATTTATTAGCACCTCCCATTGCCAAGCCCTGTCTCATTAAGTGTTGGGATGTCAAAGACAAACATGAATGTTCCCTGTTCTCAGTGGCTGATCACTGGCTCGCCTGGCATTGTTCTGGCCTAGGAGGGCAGAACAGCCCCAATCTGGGCCACTTCAGAAAGCACAGACTGAAGAAATGGGCCTGAGCTAGCAGACCTCAGCTTGCAGCAGCAATAAGCACTCTCCAGTTATGAGATATGGACAGCCATGGATCTGGCCCCTTGGGGAGGCTGTCAGCGCTTCCTTGATTGACTTGCTTTCAGTTGTGACCAAGTGATGGTCTCTTAGGGATGCTGTTGGATGAGTTCTCATTTGGGGTGGACTTTAGATGTTAACAGCCCTAGGTTCCAAGGGCTCTAACCTCTGATCTGCTAAAATGCATGGTTTTTAATTCTGGCTTTATATTAGAATCAACCTAGGATCTTTTAAAGTCCCCAATTCATGAGCCTTACCTCCAAGATTTGTATTTGCTTGGCTTGTGGTGAGAGGAGGGCATCAGTATTGTCAAAGTTTCCTCCATAGTTCTGGTGTGTGGAGAGAATCACTGGGTGCAGCTGAATGGGCAGCTAAGATACCAGGAACAAGAAAGAACACTTGAAGTGGAAGAGAAGAGTTCCTTGTTAAGCCTGCTTACATATGCACCCTCTCTGGGTGCCATCTTTTTTCTCATTGCAGGTGGAATTGCCTCCTGTTAACAGGCCTTCTATTAAAACGGTAGTTAGGTTGCAACCCAAATTATAAGTGTTGAAATAATTTTACTCCACCAAAAAGGTTAAAATGTACCCATTCATCAAATGCATCCAGCAGCATGTGCCCCTTACCAGCTTCTTGCCTTTCAACGGGTTCTATTAAGGTTAGATTTTATCTGAAATGGATTATCTTGTGCTAGAAAATGAAATTTGAATTTTAAAGGTGACTCAAAGGTTGTTTCAAGACTTCTTATGCCTGCATGGCAGTGAACAGCTCTTGGTTAACTGGAGTAATTGTGAGGAGCAGGCAGTGAGGTCAGGAAATTAACCAACACCATTTAAAGGCAAACCCACAACACTGGCAAAAATATAAAGATGGTAACAAAAAAAAGGAAAGGGAAAAAACCCCAAGTAAACTAAGTACAGTAGTTTAAGAACATTAATCATGACTACATCATAAAATATTCTCATTTTAGCCTCTTCTTGTTTGATCTTCTTTCCTTTGGAGATTAGACAGCCCCCGGTTGGACCGTGGAGCCAGTGCTGCCTGCTTCCAACTCTGTAATGCCCCCTAACTCACAGCACAACTCTGCTTGGGTCATCCCAGCCGCAGGAGCTCTTGGGAGCAAGAAGCAAGGGTGGTAATTCAGGGTCGGGGAGGGAGTTATCACTTAGGCTACTCTGCAATAGAAACCTAATATTGAGATGTTTTTGCTAATTCTTAGTGATTTCCCACAAGCATACCTCCTGTGAGACATTCAGAATGTTAATTGAATGAATACATGGATGAATAATCTGCCCATGGGTAAACTGACTATATAACCCAAATTCTGCTCTAGCAGTTGCTTTTTTTTTTAAATTTTTTAAAAGATTTTATTTATTTATTTGACAGAGAGAGACACAGCGAGAGAGGGAACACAAGTAGGGGGAGTGGGAGAGGGAGAGCAGGCTCCCCACTGAGCAGGGAGCCCGATGTGGGGCTCGATCCCAGGACCCTCGGATCATGACCTGAGCTGAAGGCAGCTGCTTAACGACTGAGCCACCCAGGCGCCCCTAGCAGTTGCTTTTAATTCTCTTAAAACATGACACTTTCTAAGGCCTGTGCTTTGTTTCACGTGCTGACCCTTTCATGTTAGAGCCTCCTTCCTCACTGTCTTCACCTGGCTGACCAGCGGCCAGTCATTTTCAGAACTAAATGAAAGCTTCCCTGCCTTCTGGAAGCTCTCTGTGCAGCCTCGGGCTCAGCTGTGCATAGCCGCCTCTGTGCTCCATGTCCCACTTCTGTTCTGACTGTTGACTTACCTGGGAGACTGGCTTTGTCCGTCCAGCCACATGCTGCATATAGGCAGGACTGTGGCATATTCCTCCCGGCATCCCAGCACCCTGCACTGTGCCTGGCAGGTAACAGGTGCTCAGTGAGAGATTAAATGAGCTTTCAGTGGAGTCCTTTATTTGTGATTTTCTATAAGAACTGGAAAATGATTAACTTCCTATTTTTTGTTCACAATGCGAATCATTAATAGATAATCTTCATATATATATGTAATAAGCTAATAGAGTCTCACAGTTTCATTGTGCGGTTCTGTGTTTTGAGAGCCTCTTCCTGTAGAGGCAGTAGGAGCTGGAAAGTCGTTCCAGTTGAAAGTTCAGTGACAGGTGTTTTTGTCTTGAAGCTGCTGCAGTTGCATTTATACAATATTTAGGAAGCAGTATTGACATTGTTCCCCCCCTTTTTTTTTTTAGATTTATTTATTTGAGAGGGAGAGAGAGCACATGGAGGGGAGAGGCAGAGGGAGAGGGGGAGAGAATCTTAAGCAGACTCTGTGCTGAGCGTGGAGCCCGTGGTGGGACTTGATCCCATGACCCTGAGATCATGAGCTGAGCGGAAACCAAGAGTTAGATGCTTAGCCAGCTGCTCCACCCAGGTGCCCTGACATTGTCCCCCTTAACACGCACACATACACACATGCATGTGTATGCATGTGTGCACTTGTGTGTGTGTTTACCTACACACCCACAGTCTGATTCTGTGATGTTTCTGGGATGAGACCTGGACATCAATGTTTTTAAAACTACCCTGGGTGGTTCTAATGTGCAAGGAGGGTTGAGATCCAAAACTTTAAGCAGTGATATTATACAGTATAATCACTCAGCTATTTAAAAATAAATCTTAGGGGCACCTGGGTGGCTCAGTCGTTAAGCATCTGCCTTCGGCTCGGGTCATGATCCCAGGATTCTGGGATCGAGCCCCGCATCGGGGTCCCTGCTCAACGGGGAGTCTGCTACTCCCTCTCCCTCTGTCTCTCCTCCCTGCTTGTGCGCTCTCTCTCTCTCTTGCTCACCCTCAAATAAATAAAATCTTAAAAAAGAAACCAAACAAATCTTAGATGTCTCTCTGGAAGGTTTCAGGTATTTCCTCTTATTTTCCAAGTATTACTGTTGTTTGAGGAGCTTCTGTGGGACCTGAACCCCCCAGCAGGCAAAGCTGAGACTGAGTCCTTGCCTCATCATGGTGATGATGAACTGACTTCCATATTTTCTTAGGTTGGCATTTTTTTTTCTTTAAGTTTTAAAGATTCTTTTTCAGAGACATGGCAAAATAAGGAAAATAAAATTCGTAGCCTCTTGTGTACCCACTACTGAGGATAAAGAGATGAAAATTTGCCATCTTTACCACAGACTTTTTTTAAGGGAAGAACTACTTGAAGCTTTGACTCATGTCCACACCCCCCCCGCCCCCGCACCTGGCAGGTGACCAGGCTGCTGTAGTTGGTGTTCACAAACACGTTGTTGCTGTGCTTTCCCAACATATGTGTCTACCCTCAACAACAAACAATATATATGGTGTTTAAAAATATCCCAGCTGGTAGCATTATTCATGTTGATATGTGTAGCTTGAGTTTAAGTTTGTTGTACCAATTTATTTATCCATTCTCTCAGCACAGATCTGTTTCAAAGCACGCTATATGCTTTTCCAAGCTGTGAGATAGGAGGCATGTCTTAAATCTTGGAGTCAGTTTGTCATGGAAAACGACCCAGGTCAGAGTTGTTTTGAGGATTAAGTGAGATGCGAATAAAATGTTTAGCACAGGGCTTTGGGCACGCACACACACATACACACACAGAGCTTTATAAACATTTGTTATTAGCAAAGATATATAATTGCTACAGCTCTTCTGCAATTGCAGAATAATGTGTGAAGGGCCTGGTTCAATTACTGTTGGGTCCCCTTTTATCTTTCCCTTTTATTATCTCCCAGTTTATTCATTTCTGCTCTCTGCATTTTGCCATCCAGGAAGCAGAGGACTGTAAAAAGAATATTGGCTTGCCCATTAGTACATGAGGAATTAATTGAGGCCGTGGAAGGGAGAAAGGGACAGTTTGTTCCTTTGTGGGCTGCAGGATGGTAGAGGTCGGATGTGAGGTGCATGCTTGTGCTCCCTTTCCAGCTGGTTTTAAATTCTGTTTCTTTTTTCTTCTTCTTCTTGAGAGCCTACTATGTGATAGGTACTTGCCTTTATGCGCATTGCCTTGTTCGGTGAATGAAAAATCTCAATTAACCCTTAAATGCTATTAGGTGTTGTTATCCCTGTTTTCTAGGTAAGGACACTTAGGCTAAGAAAAATTTAATGACTCTTGTGATGTATCTCCACCTGTAACTGAAATAGTGCGCGTTCCCCATGAGGTCCGCCTGATCCCCAAACTGAAAATAATTCCATTGCTTCCCACTCTGAGAGAGGGGGATAAAACAGCTAAGTTAACTGATTTTAATCAAAGTGACTAGAAGAAGTGGGGCTATAAGCAGATAAAAGCCATCGTATGGATGTAGTTGGCGTGTTATATTGGATATATTATTCTGTTGAAGTGTCTGTCCAAACAGCTCTAAAAAAGCCAACGTATTGTTTTAGGCTTACTTCATAGGCTCTTTTCCCGAAGATAGACCCAGAAAAGGTTTTCTGGAACAGAAGGGATAGGACAGGAGGGGAAGAAGTTGGGAGAGAATGAATGAGAATCTAATTAATTGGTAGATCTCAACCGGTTTTAATGTCGACATTTGACCCTGGGGTGACACTTAAAGGACACATCGCACCAAGGCAAATTCAAGGCTTGGGTGGAATGTACTAATTCATGTTGGTGGTAGCCCTCTCCCTTGCTGTTGCTGATGTATGAAATTATAGTAGTTGTGCAGATTGGTGCCCTTGGGATTCTGGAAGTGCCCCCTTGAAATAGAAGGCTAAGATTATGCGTGTGTCTTCCCCTCTCTCGTTTCTGCTAGGGGATCCCCGCCGAAATATCATCATGTGGCTGGACCACCGGGCGGTCAGTCAGGTCCACAGGATCAACGAAACCAAGCACAGTGTCCTGCGGTGTGTTGGCGGTGTGATGTCCGTGGAGATGCAGGCCCCGAAGCTTCTGTGGCTCAAGGAGGTGAGCGCCTAGGGTGCAGTGAGCATGCTAATCACAGCCGGGGATTCTGCTGATGTCGGATCCATCTGTACCAGGCGCCGTGCTAAAGTCTGTTACGTTTGATTTTTCCCAGCAGCTCTCTGACGAAGGTTGATCCCAATTTATTGATTACGTTGCAGTTAAATCATTCCTGTTTTTAGGTGCTAACTTTAGGCAGGCACAGTGATAAGTGTTTGACACATTATCTTTTTGAATCCTAGCAGCCACCTTATGAAGGTAGGGGTTGTCTCTTTTTGCGGGGAGGGGGTGAGGGTTTTCTGTAGACAAGAAAACTAAAGCTAATAGAGATTAACCAGCTCACCCAAAATGACATGATAAGTATGTGGCAGAGCCAGCGTTGGAACCTGAGACTGGTTGACTCCAAAATCAGTTCTCTTAATATCCAGGACTCTCCTGGAGTTCAGAGGCTGATTACCATTCAATAGAAAGTAGCAGAGCTGGGCTTTAAGTCCACATCTTCTGACCAGAACCTTCTTTCCCTGTGCACTGTATCCCCCGAGGATTAATCTGACCTTGGTGGCATGTTGGGTTTTTCATGTCACCTGAACTTGAGTTTCCATGTCCTTGAGTGATACGGTGATCTCTGGATGGAGCCCTTGTATGTGGTTCCTGTTTCCAGATGTTCAGATCCATTATGAACTGTGGATAATGGTGATGTCAGCTTCATGGTGCCCAGTAGGGATGGATGTGTGAGAAAGTTCAAGTCCTCTGGGAACCTCAGGGACTTGAAAATCCCTAGGTGGTCTGGTGAGGAGAGAATCCATCTAATTAGTAAGACCTGGCATGATTCATTTACTGGCTCTGGGGTTTCAGGTGATCTGAGTCTTCGATTACTCAAAATGTATATGGGGGTGAGGGGAGTGTAAGGGTGCTGAGGAGGTGTCCCTGGATTGCCACTGAGAGCAGAAGAGACAGAAGCAAAGAGGGCATCAGTAATCAAGGGAGGTTTGGCTTGTTACCTGGTTAGCATATTGAGCTGTTGTGTAAGCTTTAATTTGCAAAAAGCCTTCTATATTTATTAAGAGTCTGAAAACACAGAGCGTTTTAGGAGTCAGGGGTTTCTGACCCTACTGGCATCACCTTATGTGACTTTGAGCAAAGCATTTCTCATCCCAGGCCTCACTTTGTCCATCTATAAAGTGAGAGAGCTGGTCTGAACCAGTTTGAAACGTGATATAAACATATCCTGAAATACCAATCAGAATATAGAACTACTCCACACTGCCCACACCTTCTGCTTTGTGTTCTGTAGACGTTAATTGATTTAATCTTAGCAAGCTCTGCCTGATAGACAGCATGGGAAACTGAGGCTGACAGAGATAGCAGCGTGATTTTCCTAAACAGATGGCAGAGACAGAATTTAAACCCATGTCTGCTGGCCTTCAAATCCCAGCTCGCCCCATCATGTTATGCTGCACTGAAATCCCTCTTTAAAGTGTGTCACTTAGGGTAGGACCAGGAACAGGGGAAGTGGTGTTTTTAAACCAGCCTAAACACGCTGCAAGGGAACAGATGGGTTGGATACATCACACCCTTCTTGGCCACAGGTAAGGAAGAGCTGTACTGAATTAAGGGAGGAGGATCAGGTAGGTGGTCATTGGTACATCCTCAGGGCCTTATTGAGCACCTGCTTCATGGCTGGCTTGGGGCTGTATATCCCAGGAGGTCTGAATACACATCTGGTGTGAACCTCTCTGGATGCTCAGCACTGTGTGCTTGAGATCAAACTGTACTAAATAAAGCACATAGAAAATAATTAGGTTCTAGATTGCATGGCAGTCAGTGATTATGACCTCCAGAGACTGACCATCCATCCATCTATCTAATCAGTTCCATTTCAGAGTTTTCTGAGAAAGGCCTGAAACATTATCTCATCGTGTATTTAACTACCTGATGGTTGAGCCTCAAATCGGTTTTTAAAATTTCTTAAATTTATTTTTATTTATTTATTTTTGGTAAACACATACAGGAATCCATGCTGAGAATTCCTTTGATTTTTTATCATGATTGCAAATTCAAATAAAAGATATTGTCTAATACCAGTTTTAGCATTTTCTCCTTAAAGCCTGACCCAGATGGCTTATGACCCTTTTCTGACTTGAAGGTGTAAATGAATCATCTAGGGATCTTGTTAAACTGTAGATTTCTGATTTAGTACTCCTGGGGTAGGGACTGAGAATTGGCGTTTCTGACAAGCTTCCAGGCGATGCTGATGTTGCTGGCCCAGAGACTTACAAAACCACTTCTAGTTCGAAAATCTCTGTGCTTTATATCCTGAAGAGCACCTATTTGTGGAGAATCAGGAGACGGTACCTTCTTTTGAATGGGGCTATGGGAGACTGGGGTACCAGGAAGTTAGATACTTTCAAAGAGTTGTTCAACAGCACATCAGAATCAGTGTGACTCTGTGCTAAGCTCATGGGGCTGTCATTTCTTTACTCCCTTATTTGCTCTTTAATTCACCAAATATTAACTGAGGTTCTGCTCTGACCCAGCAGTGTCACAGGCACTGGGGACACAAGCACGAAGAGCACTCAGGCTTACCCTTGAGGGGCCCAGTGTCCTCTGGGGCAGTGGTGGGGAAGCAAAGGGGGGGTTTGGGTGGAGGAAAGAGACACGGAACCAGAACTGTCCGAAGATGTTCTAAGCACCTTGATAAAGGAATATGCAAAGTGCTTTCGGAGAAAAGAATTTGCTTCCGGGAGGAGTTCTTGAAGATGAGTCTCAAGATAGGAGTGGAGGTTTTGCCTAATAGAGAAGACAGGGAGTAAATTCTAGAGAAAGACTATGGTTCATTTTTGGTAAGGTACGTAGGTCCTGGGATGAGAGCCCAGGATGCTTCTCTGAGTGTAGTAGGAGATGAGGCCAGGTAAGTAGCCTGGGCTCAGTTTGTTAAGGGCTTATTTGGTGATAGATGGTTTTTAAGCAAGGGGGAGGGAATGTCTTAGATACCTTTGGCAGGGATGAAGAGACTGGATTAGGGGTGAGGAAATGTGTGTGTGTGGGAGTAAGAACCAGTTTTCATACTTTCCGGATTATAACACTTTGTTGGCTTTGCTTTGCTCTTAGGATAAATTCCAAAATTTGTAACACAGCCCAGAAGATGGTATGTGATATCATTTTCACCTCCCCCTTTCTGCTTACTGTGTGTCCCTTACCTTGCTCACTCTATCCACCGGGACCCCATCAGGGTGTCTCAAACATGCTCTGTTCTTTGCCACCTCCATCTTGACTAGGGGTTGGCAAACTCCAGTGCATGGGCCACATCTAGCCTGCTGCTTGCTTGGGATGTTTTGGGAGCAAAGAATGGATTTTACTTAAAATGGTTGAAAAAGGATTCAAAAGGAGAACGATGTTTTGTAACTTGTGAAAATTATGTGAAATTCAGATTTTCAGGGCCACAAAGTTTTATTGAAACACAGCCACACTCATTCATTTATGTTTTGTCTGTGGCTGCTTTTGCATCACATTTACACCTTCAAGACAAATGCATCACAGTGACAGAGCTGAGTAGTTGAGACAGAGACTGTGTGCCTACAAGGCTGAAAATATTTACTCTGTAGACCGTTAGAGAAAAGTTTGCTGACCCCTGGTCTTGGTGATGTGATGCTGTCCTTTCTGCCCCTGAATATTCTTCCCTCTACTCAACACCGATCCTAACTTATCATTCAGGTTTCAGCTTTACTGTTATGTCTTCAGCAAAGCCTTGCCTGACTCTCCAATAAATTAGAGATCTCTTTCCATTGCCCTCTTACTTCACTGTATCTTTCTTAAATTGTAGTGATGTATTATTTTGTATGATGATTTGCATGGTGCTTGGGTCTTCCCACCACTGTAATCCATGGGGGGATGGAGAGCCTATCCGTTTTGTTCATGGCTGTTTCACTATCCCTAATCAGCCTGCCGTATAGTAGGTAGTCAGTAAGTAGTTTCGAGTAGGGGCTCGGTAAGGGGCTTTTGCAGTCCCCCAGGTGAGAAGTCATGAGGCGTGAAGTAGGCACTGTGGGGTGGAGAGGAGATAGGTTCCAGAATTTTTAAAGCATACTATCAGCAGGATATGGAGGCCGATTGGCTATGAGAAGCGAGCGAGATGGCAGAGTCAGAGCTGACCACTCACTTTAGTACCGCTGTCATTCGTGGGCTCCTTGTCCTTAGCCTGGAATCTGATGACATGGGGAGTCGGGCAGAATCTGGAGTTCAGACTTCCCAGAAGACCCAAGTGATAGACTAGGACCACCGCAGCTCTTGGGCAAAGTCACGCAGGTCCTGGTTCTGCAATGTGGAATTTTAATCATGTCCTTTACATTTAAAATTTGTGTGTTTCAGGTTGATGTATGTCTCCTTAATAAGAATTGTCAGATAAAAGGAGAAATGCCATTTGAATTTTTCATAACCCCCAGCAGTCTGGCTTTTCCATTTGGTCTCAATGATTCTGACTCTCATCTTAATGAAGGCCAAATGTAAATTAAGTTCTGTCAAGGCTGGAACAGCTGGAGTCTCCTATCTTTATAAACATGAAACATTGCAGGGTAACAAGGTGCAGACTGGGGAAGGTCAAGAGAGTTAAGGGCTGATGCCGATCCTGACAGCTCAGTGTTAATGGAAGATAATTAACTGGTGTGTAGGGGCTTCGTGGGGATCTTCCAATCCGACTTTTAACTCATTTCCTCTTTTTGCCATTGTCAGCAGAACAGAAAGCTAATCATTTTATAGTTTGAGATTTTCATTGTTCTTTCCCAACTGGAACCAACTGGCTGGAATGTCCGAGGATTTTGTTGATGGGTTTAGAAGATCTGTCTGCCCCCGCCTCCCCCATCTCTCCCCAGTTCATGCCTCTGTGCTTCTGTTCCCCTGATAGCGTGCTGGGAAAATGAAGAAATGATTCTCTGGTTCTAATGTGCCTCTTGCTGTATATGTAGATTCTTTGGAGGAAGCTGGGAGTTGGGATGCCTAGAGAGGTG